GCGAATCTGTTGAACTTGCTAAACAAAAAGTATGGCATCAATGAGGATAGCGGCGGCAGTCATGCAGACGCCGCCAGTCCTCCGCTCAAGATGCAAAAGATGGCCAGTGGCGCAGGTAATCGCTCCTTGGAGGAGGCTGGAAGTGGGGACATGCTGCGCCAGCGCAAACTAGTGCAGCAGGCGCCAGGTGAGCAACTGAGCGCCTGGTCACATACTAGCCGGCGTTATTAACATAATTATCTCTTGCAGCCTCGCAGCAACTGAAGCTGGCCGCTGGTGGACAAGGTGGCGCTGTAGCCAGCACAAATCCAGTGCAGCGTAAGGCGACAAAGATCTACAAGTGTACGTCGTGCGATTACAAGACCTCGGATATGCGTCTGTTTAACACCCACTACGAGACCTGCAAGCAGCAGACGTTCCAGTGCAAGACCTGCCGCAAGATCTTCCCACACTTCGGTGCCATGAAGCAGCACATGGTCCGGGATCATAATACGGCCATGGACAACACGTGTGCGATGTGCCACATCAATTTCGTGAACGAGGCCAGCCTGCGCAAGCACATGGAAACCAATCATGCCACAAATGTTCTGGTCACCAGCACCACAACCATACCGGCAGCTGCGGCGCCTGTGACAGCGGCAGCTGCTGCTGCTGCGGCTGCGGCTGGCGTCACCGAGTCCATTGGCGCCTCCGGCTCAGCCCTGTATACATGCAATCACTGTCAGTTCAAGTCGACCGACAAGGGCGTCTTCGATGAGCACATGCGCAAACACATCAGCGGCAAGCCGAAGCCCTTCAAGTGCCGCCTCTGCTCGCAGCGATTCGAGACACGCGAAGCGGCCACCATTCATGCCAAGCAGCATCAGACGAACTACTTCAAGTGTGGCCAGTGCGCCATGACGTTCCCCAAGCGCGAGCTGCTGGTCAAGCACGTCGAGCTGCATCAGGCTGAGAAGCTGAATGCCGCAAGCGGCGGCAGCCAGAACTTGAACACACAGAAGCTGCTGCAGGAGACAATTGATGAGGCGCTCAGCGATAGCGTGCCGGCCCAGGGAGGCGGCACTGTTGTGGCCAGCGCCGGTGAGGCTGAGAATAACATTCGATTCTTCTCGTGCAGCATCTGCTCGCTGACCTTCATACAGGAGACGTACTACAATCACCACATGGAGACGCATAGGCGCGACAAGAAGGGCTCAGCTGCCGGCGGCGGCACCACAGCCCTCAACTCGGCAGCGACAGCGCTGCTCAGCGATGAGCCGGGAGATTCGGGCTCTGGCGCCAAGGAAGAGCTCAACGAGCAGAATGCCGAGGCGGACATTGAGAGTCTGTTCGAGAAGTTGCATTCGGATAAGAACGATAGCGAAAAGAGCGGCAAGAATGAGATGGTCATCACCTCGCAGGAGGGCAGCGGCGGCATCACGTTCAACATAACCATACCGCAAGTGGATGCCAGCGGCGAGCAGGCCGAGAAACATTCGCCAAACTCGCAGGCGCCCGTTTCGGTGAGCATCGACATGCCCGTGCTGGACCAGGCCGAGGAGGAGGAGTCTCAGTCCCAAGGCAGCAACGACAACAAAGCAGCTGACGGCGGCAAATCGAATGCAGCGCCCGTCTCCATGCCCAGCCTGGACGATGACAATGAGGCAGCGGCCGCCGGGGCAGCGGACACAACTGACGGCAATGCGGCCAGCAGCGGAAAGGCGAGCGAGAAAAGCGGCGCCAAGGCTGACCAATCATCAGCTAAGGAGAAGTCCAAGGAGGCCGAACAATCTGGAAACGCGGAGAGTGACGCTGCTAAGCGAGAGTCCGCCGAGACGACAACGGCCGAGCAAGCAGCCGAGTCGGAGGCAGCAGCCAACGAAGCTGCCGAAGCAGAGGCAGCTGCCTCAGCTGATGGTGAGGCGGCTGAAGGATCCGGCGGCGAGCAACAGGTGGCCATGGAGCTGGATGAGGCCATGCAAGCCCAGGTGGATGGCGGCCAGATCAAGTTCATTGTCAATGAGAACGGACACCTACTGCAGCTGGACAACCACATATTGACCGATGCGGATGGTAATCAGATCATAGTACAAGACCCGGAGCAAATCCAGCAGCTGCTCCAAAGCGTGGGCGTCCTGCAATCGGGCGAGGGGCTCGAGGGCGAGACGCTGCAGATGATGACCGATGGGAGTGGCCAGATGGTGCTCGTCCATGGCGACAACAACGAGCAGCAGCTGATCGATGCATCGCTCCTGAACTCCGAGGGCCAGATTATCATACAGCAAGGCCAGGATGGTGAGGAGGGTCCTCACGTCATCAGCGAGGATGGCACACGCATACCCGTCTCCGTCTCCTACACTGAGGATGGCCAGCCCATTGTCCAGGTGCAACAGCAGGTGCTGGAGGCAGCGCAAGCGAACGCCGAAGAAAAAGAAGCCGCAGCCGCAGCCCAGGAGGAGGCTGGCGAGGAGACGCAAACAAGCGAATCGGTGACGGTGACCACCTCGGCTGCCGCGGTTACCACTAGCACGGCCAGCAGTAGCACCGGTGGCACCGCTGGCTTCTTTGCGCTGGAAGAGTTTGCCGAAACGAAAACGGACTAGGATTGGCTCTAGGAGCGGGGCCGCCAACACTATCCAATCCTGGCAAGCGACGAGGACTGGTAAGTGAAGGCCTTATCCCATAACCAATTGAAATGGGTTTTGCTAATGAGGATTTCTTCTTCTTTTAGGTTTTGAGCGATAAAAACCAAAACAATTGCTAAATCGAGGTCTGACAAAACTCTCGGCCCAACATCCGAAATATACAGACTCACACACACACACACAAGACAACACAACACATCCGCATTTTAAATACGCATACACACACACACTTACACATTTATACAATTATCTTACGTATTAACACTCCAGTTGACTACAACAACAACAACAACATCATCTGTAATCAAGGTCGATTCAGATTATTGCAATCGAAGCTCGAGAATTGGCCCCGTTAACTGGAATTGGCAATTGGTTTTTGGCTGGATTTGGCTGAGAACGTGTTAGGCTTAGTTTTAGCATAGACAACCACAGCAACAACAAATGCAAACATAAACTATAAAATGTAAAAAAAAAAAACCCAAAAAAAAATTCATAGATTATTACAACAGAAGCTTGAATTACAATTAATATACAAAAGCAAGAAAGCGATTATAAAATATAAAAACTAAATAAAAAGAAAGAAAAATTATACAACAAAAGCTGTCCTAATGTAGTTCATAATGCAAATAGCTGTACATCAGCTAATGCCAAGCTTAGCTGACTAATAGATCGGCTCGTGAATGATAAGCACACACACACACATATCTAGATGTGCATGTATTGTATGACAAATGTAAAGACATCCGATTGTGTATGAGAAAACAACAACAGAACACAGAAAAAGCTTGTTTTATATATATATATTTTTCGCATTTCGCTTTCAAGTGTTTGGAATTTAATTTGCATGTAGATGCAGATCAAGCATTTGCGAAGCCATATAAATATATAATTGGTATCATTCATATATAGTGGATGTTGATAGATCCTAAGTTTGAAATTCAATCAAAGTGTAACGTGCATTGAACCCAACTTGACTTGGACTTGATTGGGGTTTCATATAGACTCGCATATGCACATCGAGCCATGATCGAGTCTTTTGTTTCGATAATTGCGAATAGTCGACAGCTGTTTTAGTGCTTGTAAATTGCACACCGTTTAGTTGGCTTTGTTTTCAGCGCTGATAAAGTTGTAGCTGACATTGAAATTTGATTTTCAGTGGCTCCGTCCGCTGTTTAGGCCACTTTTATTGCTTTGCTCGGGGCAATAAATCTTCAGATTGTTGGCACTAAAGTTTGAATGTCGAATCTTGCAACCGGCTTGGCTCGTGCACGCTTCGATACCCTGGCTGGATATTGAAGGGGAATTATGGTTTAAAGTAAGAAGAGTTCTTAATCTAGTCTGAAATTCAAATCATTCGATATTTTTCTTAAGTCCCAAAAAGGTCAAACTGAGGATAGCATGAAGGAAAAATCCAAAGATAATGACGAGGGAATCCGAAGATACACGAGATGTGGAATGACCTAATGAGAAAATAGTTCAAATTCAGTACTAATTAATTAAGAACGAACGTCGGGCATACCTTGATCAAAGCTTGTTATGTATATCTGGTAGTCTAGTATACCCGATCCGTAATAATATGCAAATGTATATTTATAAATAAACGAGAATTTTATATATAAGATATAAATAACGAGAAATCCACTAGTCGGGCATACTCCACTAGAACTCCAACACAGTCGAAAGTCAGTGAGCTGTCTCCGTGCCGTTTTGTTTTATATCCAAGCGTGTTGAATTACAAAAACATCTACTAGGTAAATTAATGGATAATTTATATTACTTTTTTTTTGAGTTATTTGTCTATTATTATTATTTTTGGAAATCGATTCCCGTTATGCTTTATCTCTGCTTAAATTTAGCCACCTATTGATTTATGTGCAACTAAACAGAATCATCATGTGGACCACTCACCGAGCTGCTTTTATTCATTTCAAACATTTTTAGTCAAGGACGTGCCCTGAGTGGGATTACACCGTTGCAACAGTAACATCTTTAAGCTGCTGCTGCTGTTGTTGTTGTTGTAGGTCGGCTTGAGATGAAAAGCTCGATTTGTGAGCTGTGCTTGGTTTATTTGTGCTCTTACATAATCTATGGCTTCAAGAGTCGGTCAATATTATGCAACGGCCTCAATTAGCCCAAATCGCCATGCAAATGAGTGCCATCAATTTATTTATTTTTCTGCCTCTTCTGTTTAGCGTTACGAATCGAAAGTCGTTCTAAAGGTTGTTCGACTTGCCATTTTAGTAAAACGAAAAATTGAAGATGTAAATGTGTCAGCTATTTATCTAATGAATGTTAATTGAATGTTATTAATTGATGTTTTTAATGTGCACATTAATCAGTTGCTAAATGAAGCCATTCAATTAAAAGTCTTTTGGATTATTAGCCAAAGCGATATTTATCAAAGTTGAGATATATTTGCTCTATATGTACATATGTATATATATGCAACTTAAGTAAATGAACCCTAGATGTTTCAGCGTGACTAAAGCATTCAGTATTATACATATAAATTACCTAATTTCATTGAATATTAAGTCTATTTATCTTCTAGAGAATTATAACTAAAAGTTATGTTGCTCTCTTTTAATTATATGTATATTATTATTATTATTTTGTTTTTTTTTTTTGAGTTCATCGCCTAACATATTTTTGATAGTCTGCAGCTGCTAGGCAACAGGTTTCAGTTTCCTATAACCATAAAAAAGTCTGGAAGGTGTATGATGCATTTTAAATGTTATATATAAAGAGTCAAAAGTATTTAATTTTTGACTTTATAAACGGTCAAATATATTGCGAATACATTAAATATTGAAATTAAGTCAGCGACGTCATTTGAAAATGTTAATATCAAATTACGCCACATATGCAAGCCTCCGTATTCCTCCTGGCAGCACTTTCGTTTTCAATAGAAGAAGTTCTCGGCTTAAGAGACAAGGTTAAGTTGTCCGCTGATGGAATGAATAAAGAATTTTTTATATATACATACATACATATTTGTTTTTGGAATTCTATATATACAAAATACATATTTATGTACATATATTTATTTTTCTGTTTCACTCAAAACGTTATTCCCGATTTGCATTTAATATCCATAAACATCAATTTGACATTTCAATCGTCTGCTCGCTACAGATATTATAATAATAATATTAACAATAATGCGTTCTTATCTCCCTCGCTGACAGTCGCGCAATTTATCTAGATCTGCTATATATAAATCTAATATATGTATATGTTCAAGATTCACTACCAACGCCTCGATTGCACCTCGTCTACGGATGGATGCGTGCGTATGTATTCCAGCTGACGCTCCAGGTGCTTGATGGCGTGATCTCCGCTCGGCTGGTAGCCGTTCTCGTCGGCCACATAGGTGAAGGTTATGGGTAGGCCCTCCTTAGATACGTACTGGACCACGCCCACGGCGCCAGCCTCGTTGCCCGCCCCCTTGGTGGTGATGCCATTGGAGGTCTGGAATTCGAATTGGTAGTTTCCCTTCGCATCTGGAGGCTGATTGTTGTAGTAGATGGTATGGGGCGTGGCAGGGCGTGCGGCACAGCTGGCGAAGAGGAGGAGCAGGAACAGGAGCAGCTGCAGCAGCCGAGCCTGTGGCAGGAATTTGGTTGAGCAGAGTGATCTAAAAACCAAATCAAAACAACGCACAAACCTTGACAAACTGACGTCGATTTTGATAACTGGAATGCATTATTGAACGCGCCAAATAACAGTAAATATATATATGTATATATAGATGTGTACGGACGTTGATCTGAATGTGATCTGAACAGCGATTGCGTTGCGCGATCCGTGTGATACGAAAGTTAATATGAAACTGTGATAAACACATCTGGCAAATGTCTCAAGAAGCTTTCGCTTAATTTTAATTCAACCAAAATTCTCTGAGCGCGCAGAGTCATAGCGGAACCTCAAGCATTCAGTTCTAACTCATTATTAGCAGCTCTACAAATGAAACGCGTAGCGGTGCAACCGAGACATGACGAACTGCGAATATACTCTCAGATAAATTTCCTTTGGATAAACAATAAAGATCTGTGATCGATAACGTCAAAGATCGTAATCGATCCTCCAATTTGTATATCAACAGTCTATACATTTTAAGAAGCCTCAGCATTCGATTGATGAAGTAGCTGATTTTCATGAATGCAGCTGATTAATGATTATCTCATCTTACACTTTCAATTGGGTATCTCTCAGAGATATGTAGCTAATTGATACACGTACGATCTGATTTATGCTTATTCGCGTACATATATTTTATAAATATATGCTAACTGCTGGAGAAAGGGTATATCAAGTCACAGACTCCCCTGAGTTATGGATGATACACCGCTTGCTAATTTAATAATATTCTAAATAAAATTATAAGCATTGAGTTTATATAATGCATAGTTGAATATTTAAGATGACAAAGCGTTCAATATTTATGGGTATAACTGATAAACACTGAGGATCGTTGACATAGTATTTGATGGGCGTATGTGGATCTCTGAAAATCGGTAGGTGTGCCGCACAGTGGTGCAAAACCTGTTTGTAAAGTGTCGTAATTGTATTTAATAAAATTATAAATGATCTTGAAAATATATATATTTAATTGAGAAACTCTGTAATTAGCCAGAAGGCTATAAAAAAATTAGGGTATAAAAGTGCTAATTTGACAAGAAAATAAGAGAACTGGTCTATCACAGCTGCTCGTACTTCGAAATAAATCTCGAATGCAATTAAAGAACATGCACGTTAAATGTTAAAGGTAGATTTATTTTGTCTGTATTCGATACTGAGATATTTCGCGCTCGCCTTATCGGATAGAAAATATCTGTTTTATGGCATTTGAGAAATGCCGCCTCTTTATATGCCTAACACGAATATCTTTGGCATGGCCTAATGAACATAAATTATGGCCGAATTGAGCCGATTCGAAAACAATTGACACATTCAATGAACCCTAAACTGGTTCCGAAACCACATTCAACGCGGCAAACACTTTGAACTCTGATGCATTTCAGAAAGCTGGCTTCAATGTGCAGCATCCAATGGAACTCAAGGTATGCAGGTCGACCTAGACCTTGCACGACTTGACCACACCCAATCAAACACACACAAGCACAAACAGAAGTAGAGAAATCAATCCATTCCATATGCATAACAGTTCCCACACACCGCTCGGCCGCATCGCTCAAGGCGTTAAAAATCAATCAGCGCATCAATCCATTAATTATAAAGAGCTCTGCGACATTTGCCATTGATATTCAAGACACCCAATGAAGATGTGAAAATAAATGATTTGCTATCAAATTGGAATACATTGAGATGGCACAAAATGATATGATATGAAAAAAAAAATTAGCTGAATTGAATGGAATGGAACAAAGCGAGCTGAAATTGATATTAATTAATATCAAATGAAATTAAAGGGAATTAATTAAAACTATAAATTATGATTTTAAATTAAAGCAAGAAATTAAAAAATTAATATAAAAAATGCATATACATAAAAAATAAACAAAATATTTTAAAAGTAAATTTTAAAAATATTAAAAAAATTGCAAACAAATTACTATTGAAATTGTGTTAAAAAAGGTGTCGAAAAAAGGTGTTGCTTCATGGGCGTTCTCATTAATAGCATTAGCTCAGCCTGAGAGAATCTCATGAGTCTCATAGCTCAATATAGTATAAATATATATAATTAATATAAAACTCGATTCGAACTGAGTTGCTGCTGCTACTGCTCGCTGCTCAGAGTTTAGGCGAAATATAAATTTATATCAAGCACCTGATCTACAAGTATTTAGTATATCTAAGCACACATTTATATATAAATTTATATATTTATTGCGTAGCTTTCGGTTTCATTTATAGTGGCTCAATTAGCATAACTGGCAAGTCAGCCCAAACGATCGATCAAGCGATTGATCGAATCAGCCCAAAGTTCTTCACGTCATTTCTAGAATCAGTCGTTGATTGGCTTTGAAGCCGTTTAGAACTCAGCTGGTGGGCCCATTAACGGGCCGATACGGAACTAACGAAATAACGCATTAAAGATTTCATTTTCAATTCTATTTAACGTGTTATCTCACGCTGTGTGTGTGTTTGTGTGACTGTCTGACTGTGATTTTTATCAGATTTTATAGTTTTAATATCGGTTCTGCATCGGATTGGCATTCACAAATGGCATCTGACGTCTGCCAGAAGATGATTTTTTATAGGTTTAATCATAAATGTGGGCGATCGACAGCTTCCGTATTGTCGCGTCATATTTGCCCAAAAGTTATGTGTGCAAATTAATAAACACTTGTTAATTGGATTAAGCTGCAAAAGGCGAGAACAATGCGTGGCCTTTGGCGTGACCAAAGCTAATTAATGTGAGGCCAAAGTCAGGCATTAAGTTGAGGTACAGGATGTGCAAATATCTAATCTATTTATGACTTATCTATGAGGAATACATAAACCCTGGGAAGCTGAAATGCTTTGAAAAGAGAGTTGAGATTATGAAGACGACTGACGACTTGTTTCTGTATAATATATCAGTTAATTATTGCTGCTTGGCGTGATTTTGCAGAGATCTTAAGTATAAAGTATGTATGTATAGATCGAACGTATGAAAAAATCTTTATTATATTATTATTTATTTTTATGAGAATTCTATGTTTCTTTAATATAAAATAATAATATTGTCCCTTGCTTCGCTTTTTCTTTTACAAATGATTTTTTTTCATGTATATATGTTTATATATTATATAAGTGCTCATTGTAGAATATAATGTTTTATAACATTAAATCTCTTTTGGATTTGAGGGATTGATGGATCTTTCCCACATAAGCAATATGAGATTACTATATATATAGCATTTCGAAATAAGTTTTTATATGCAAAATTTCCAGTCTTTTAGTAGGACTATCGACGGAACAGCATCATATAGCAAAAAGTTGATTGAGAAACTTTTTCAGCGTTTTGATAAGAGATAAGAGATATGTATGTAGTTCTTGGAGCTTGATAACCTTCTGTAAGTATAAAGAACGTTTTTTACAGCATTTGTTATCTGAAACATATAAAAATATGACCAACATCATAAATGAATACATTTTATTACCCAAACTGGTTGGCCTAACCATATATGTGTCGGAGTTGATTGGCCTAAACAGTAATAATGCAAATGAAATGGCATTCTTTCGGATATATTCATATTCGTTTCGGAACTAAGAATCGAAGAACTGGAACTAACATCAAGTGCAGTCATAAATTAATGTGGTTAGCTAAACAAACAGAGTGTTGGCTATTAGCGCGGAAATGGATGAATGGCCATCGTGGAATGAAGCGTCAAGCGACACGACTCCAAGCCAATCGGAGGCAGTCCAAGCCAAGCCGAGCCAGGCCAGACCAAGCCACGACTGAGCAACAATAGAGTCGTGCTTTGTTTGTTTATGTTTATTGATTGTTCAGCTTCTTCGCTCATCGATGACTAGGCTAGATATACGACTACGTATAAAGTGGGTAAGACGCGCTCGCAGAGGCCGCAGTAGGTTGGCTAACTTTGAACCTCGCAGAGCTCGGATCGCGTCCATCGTCGCGCTGTGTGTAAACGAATAAACGAACGAACATATATTTGGATTAACTAGAGATAATTATATATTATAATTTATCAAATTTACAAGTGTTTGTCCACTGTGTGCCACGCTCGGCAGATATGCGAAATTTTGTAAGCGCCAACACGACCTTGTGCTAGCCACGCGATCCAATTCGATCCACTTTGCTGATCCATCTCTTTCCCCTCTCTGTGTCCCTCGCAGCTGTTGATCACTTGGCTGTGCCTGGCGCTGCTCGGGAGTCAGCTGGACGCCAGACTGGTGCGGGTGCGTCGCATACGCCGTCTGGTGGGCCAGAGCGAACGCTATGCCCAGATTACGGACTATCGGGTGTCGCCCCTGGACGAGACGGGCATCTTCAAGTTCGCCTTCAAGACCAGCAACGGCATCAATGTGCAGACAGCGGGCAGTGCCCTGGAGACCATTGGCATCTTTAGCTACACCTCGCCGGAGGGCGTGCCTCGGCTCGGCTCGGCTTCCATGTGGTGGGCAAGCACCTGCCCCGGCCGCCGCCCACGCCCAGCTACATTCTGCGCGCCCTGGAGTACATACGCACCCACAACGAGGATGGCAGCCCGAAGGCCCCAACACTGTGAAACACGTCGTAGCTTGTAATCATTCAGAAGAAGGCTGATAATACCGTGTAGTAACCTGCTAATATCTACTGTTAGTTCTCGTATAGCTTCTAGATCGTGTCACCTGTTATAAATCATCTCATCTGCTCCTTCACACACCTTCACAACTCTTACATCTATATATAACTCCAAAAATATAATCAAATTAATCAAAATCTTATGCGTGTTTCAGTTTTGGTCTGATGACCCCAACAAATCAGCTCTTGTTACGAGATTAGCCATAAAAACTGTTAATATGATAATCAAATCAGCTTTTTTTTTGTTATTAATATTAATGCTCCTACTCAGAAATCGAAAATGAGATTCTATTTCGATTGGCTTTACAGTTCTTTCCGGGTACTAAAGTAGTCAGTGAGTATAATGGAATGATATGTGGTCTTTGATTGCTTCGAAATATTTGTCAAACTAGTTAGCAACTTGGGTTTATCGCGAGCCATGAAGCGTGTCTTCTAGTCTTAATTATCGGCTAATTCTTATTTTTTTTTTGGGGATAAATCATATTATTAGCAAAGGCTTATCATTAGGAATCAACATTTAAGTTAAGAATGCATACATAATTTGTTTATTTTTAAATTCGCAAATCTCTTGAGTTTTTTTAAAGCAAAGACTTGATTCGCACAGTAAGAGAGAGGGGAAAAGAGAGAGAGAGAGAGAGCATATAGAGAGCGAGTACAGATAGAGGGAGAGGGGGCATCGGAGTACAGCTAGAGGGAGCGCAACTAGAGGGAGCATTGCTAGGGGAGCACAGGAAGAATGAACACAGGTTGAAGCAGCATATGAAAAGCGAGCATTGGTTACAGGGTACAAGTAGAACCCTCGTAGACAGAGGGGGCATAGGAAGATTAAAAGGCATAGCCGCTTTCCATATTCAGGTATTGCTTTTATTACGTATGACTATAGAATACATTCAAAAAATCTAAGATATCTCTTTGCCAACCAATAAAAATCATTTACCATGAGTAATAAAGTTTATCCTCTTGTTTTATATAGCATCCACTTTAGCTTTTCTCTATTTTCTTAGAATTTTCTTTAATTATGGAAATCGAATAAAATATGTCGTAAGAAACATTTCCCTTATTTAAGACACAAATACCACAAGAATTAAGTTTTATCCGCTTGTTTGATTAATATGTCTTCAACAAATACATCTACATATACACTATATATACATATATATTTAATATTAATTTTGTATTGTACTTTTCACTCTTTAGTAGAATAAACATGCAAATTTATCCTCAAGTTTGCTTTCACTATGTATTTTAAATTATTCATTAATTCATTCATTATTCATTATTCAATATCTCACTCAACGCAACGATTTAATGAGATTTTAAGATTAGTCTATAGCCTCTTTAAATTGACATTAATCAAACTCATTCACATGGTAAGTTTCCGTTCAGCAAATGGAGAAATGGAGAAGTTAACTAACCTATGTGTTCATGAACAACTTTGAGGATTATCACGTCGATTCAAGCTAATCCTCAAGCATGTTTTCCCATCTACAAATTCCTTGCATTTAATGAGAGACTGACTATATATCTATATTGCTATACGATATGTCTCCATTATTATTCACTATATTGCCGATTTCTGAAAATATTAATTGCAGTTAGTGAGCTGCATCGCCATCAAGTTCATTGCGAGCATCTTTGACCCGCCTCCTTGGCATCGGGCCACAGAGAGAACTCATCAATTTCTCAAGCATTCGCAATGATCATTGTGATGGCCGATGATAATCATACTTTCAGCCGATGATCATGATGATGAAGATGTTCTTAAAAATAGGAAGACGACGTCGTCGTTCTCCCTGTGGACGACCACGGCACTTGTGCAGAGCTCTCGCGCTAATTTGCTTTATGATAGGCATGAAAGATCAGCATAAATATATCTTTTTGGAGACAAATTTCTTGGCTTCCCTTGCGACGAGTCAGTCAGTCTTGCCTTGGCGCTTGTGGGGAACGGTGCGTTGTCTCCTCTTGCAGCAAGTCCTTGGATATCGTTTAACTAGCCGATATCATCAAGTGCAATATCTATCCTATAGATCTCTGCATCTATCTATATATATATATTTCCTAGTGCTGTTATTGGAAGTTCCTATCGAGTCTGTTGACAGATGTCGGCGATTGATTTATAGTTATCATATAGTTTGGTGAATGATGTGGAGTGTTCTTATCGCGTTGACAAATGTGGAAAAAAGTTTTTAGTTTCTCCTGTACCGCTGTGCCGCTCTATGAATCGAATCTACATATATGCAGATGAAGTGATGCTGTGCTATTTATAAAGCCGCCTTAATCTTAATGGATTTTTATACCGTCTACATATACTCATCTATATTTTCAGCCTGCGCTCGCCTTCCAAAATGTTCTGAAAGAAAACTAAAAATTAATTAATGGCTTGTTATTTTTAAAAGACAAAAAAAAAAAAAAAAAAGAAAGGAAAAGCTGAGAAATCAAGTTTCGAGTGTGCAAAGGTGGAAAACAAAATAGTTTCGATCGAACACATCTACATATATAATACTAGATTATAGTCCGAGGCGTCAAAATGCCGCGAGCACATTTTGCTTTATGTCTGCTCGGCTGCATTGCACTCTCTGGAGGTAAGTGGGCGTAAGCCTAGGCAAATATCCATCATAAAGATCTCAAATATGACAGCTCGCAAGCCTTTCCGCTGCACATTTCTTCGCAAAGTGATAAATAATTTGGGTATATTTTGAAATCCATGTGGAAGTGTGGCCAGGGAAACTTGTAACCTTTTCCTAATGGCTCATAAAGATATCCACATGTGACCATAAAAACCATTTGCTCTAACATCCATGAGTAAGAACCAAATACACGAGGTTAGTCACAGAAGATGTCCAAACTATATTTTATTATGCCATTGGTTCTCTACTATAAAGTCGTAAATTGTTCTTACCCCGCTCGTGGTTGTATAGATATACATATCTCTATATAATATATATCTATATATATTTAGATATCTGTTCACCTTTTTTATGATATCGTGATACATATAGGTGAGATCTAGTTCAACATATTGATGATTCATGGCCAGTTTGTCGCCGGCCCATACGTCTTTAGCGTTATGAGAGTCCCCTTAGCCCAACAAATAGGTCTCTCCACTTAATTACCGGCCGGAATTTACAAACTATAAACATAAATGCGCATCGTAAATTTCTGTGGAGATAAAAATAAACAGAAGCATAATAAAAATTGTTTTAGCAAAGCTTGGGAAGAGCTCTTCGTAATGCTCTATAAAGAAATTTGTAGAACTATCAGAGCGATCGTTGAGCTAATAGTTTGACTATCATATTAATATTCAAATCATATAATTCAATAATAATTTCCATAAGAAATCTATTCAACTCTCAGGGCGATGGCTATGCTAATAGCTTGAGCTCGTTTTGATATTAAAGTCATGAGATTTACTCGAATTTTGGTAACCGTCGACAGTTGCGCACGCTGTCTATGAGGACTGCAAGACGCCGCCGCCGGTGGATCATGCGCGGGCTGAGCTGTACGAGGACGGGGACATCAACACGGCCCTTTACAGCTGCTCTAGAGGCTATGTGATTGAGGGCCCCACTGAGCTGATTTGCAATGTGACAACGGAGGAGTGGCAGGGCGATCCGCCCTACTGCTCGCCAATATTCCACGATGACGAATACTACGATGAATACGAAACGATCGATGAGAAGGATCTAGAAAACGATTCAGCTGAGGGTGAGGATCCCGTGGCGCCACCACCGCCACCGCCACCAGTAGAGAAGGCGGAGCAGGAGCAGCTAGAGGAGCTGGAGGCGATAGATGAGGACGAGGAGGATGAGGAGGACGAGGAGACATCATTGACGCCGCAACGGCAACCTCAGCCATTGGCTGAGGCAGAGACCATTGCTGAGTCAACGGCTCCTGTTCAAGCCCCAGCAGGACTCGAGCCAACAATTGTGGTGCACGTGGACGAGCCACAGCCAGAAGAAGCGGTGCAACCAGAGCCAGAGCTGCAGGCAGAGCCAAAAGCAGAAGTTCATCCTGTTGCCGGAGGTGCTGCTCCTGTTACGGATATCAATATTGTCGTAGAGCCTACGGAGGATCCGTTCACACCACGTCTCCTGGACGAGAACTGCGGAGAGGATCGCGGTGGCTGTGCCCACAAGTGCGAGCGTCTGCTCTTCCCTGGCGAGAACGAGCCAAGGCTGAAGTGCAGCTGCAACGAGGGCTACACGCTGGATCCCCAGGACTATGCAACCTGTCATGGTGGGTCACTATCTCCCCCTCCCTCTCCCTCTTTCTTCCATTGTCTACATTGTGTACTTCTCCCTTGCAGACATCGATGAGTGCTTGGAGTCGAATGGCGGCTGTGCCGAGATCTGCAATAATCTGCCCGGCACGCATGAGTGCGCCTGCCGGAAGGGCTACCAGATCAAAGAGTCCGACGGCAGCTGCGAGGGTGAGTGAATACCAAGGCTACCATTGCCCAGAGTCTCAGCATCTTTCTCCTCAGATATCGACGAGTGCGCACAGCCGGAGGTGCAGGCGGAGTGCAACAATGCCTGTGAGAATACGCCGGGCTCCTATCGCTGTGTCATACCGCTGGACACCAAGCAGGAGGCTGTGGAGGAGCCAGAGGAGCCGGAGCAGGGCAAGCCAGTTGAGGAGCCGACGGATGTGGAGGAGCCAGCTGTGCAGAAGCCCAGCTGCAATGCAGGATTCGTGCTCTCGCAGGATGGCAAGGAGTGCCAGGACATCAATGAGTGCGAGATCGTCGTAGAGGACAACGAGAATGCGGATCATGTGCCGCATCGCATCTGCCAGCAGCTGTGCGAGAATACGATTGGCTCCTATCGCTGCAGCTGCCGCGAGGGCTTCCACCTGCAGGAGGACGGCAGCAGCTGCGTGCGCGATGGCTGCGACGACTTGGACAATCCGCAGCTGAGTCGCAGGCGCTGCGCCCATGAGTGCGAGGATCTGCCCAGTGGCGGCTACGCTTGCCGCTGCCCCGATGGCTATAGGCTGGCCGAGGATCTGCACAGCTGCGAGGTGCTGGAGACGGTGTGCAGCCGGGAGCAGGGGCACGAGCGCTGCCGGCCGGGCAGCTGCGTGGCCAACGAGGCCAACGGCACCTTCAGCTGCCTCTGCCCGCCGGGCTATGCCAGCGACGTGTACAGCTGCCAGGATCTGGACGAGTGTGCCCTGGGCACGCACAAGTGCAGCCACGACTGCTTCAACACGGCCGGCGGCTATCAGTGCCTGTGCCCGCGCGGCATGTCGCTGCAGGAGCCGGAGGGCCACACCTGCGTGGCGCCCGACCCCTGCGCCTTCAACAACAACGGCTGCGAGCAGCTCTGCCTGAGCGCCGACGGCGGCGCCTGCACCTGCAGCAAGGGCTACGTCCTCAGCGCCGACCAGAAGAGCTGCCAGGATGTGGACGAGTGCGCCGTCAACAATGGCAACTGCCAGCAGCTCTGCCGCAACCTGCCAGGTGCGTATGAGTGTGTGTGTGCCGCCGGCTACGAGCCCCTCCAGGCGGAGGGCCTCGTTGGCTACTGCTTCGACATTGACGAATGCGCCAGCAACACGCACAGCTGCGCCTCGAGCATGCGCTGCGAGAACCTCAATGGCTCCTACACCTGCCTCTGCGAGCCAGGCTATGCCTTGGGCATTGCAGCTCAATCATCATTAACAACTACATCTGCATCATCATCTGCATCAATTGCTTTGCCCGCTTGCTTGGACATTGACGAGTGCTCCATGTCCAATGCCAACTGCTCGCATTTCTGCATCAATCTGCCGGGCAGCTTTCAGTGCGCCTGTCCTCTGGGCTTCAGCCTGGCGGCGGATGGCCGCAGCTGCCAGGATGACGACGAGTGCCAGCTGGAGAATGGACAGTGCTCGCAGCTCTGCTTGAATCAGCCTGGGGGCTTCGCTTGCGCCTGCCAGCCCGGCTTTCAGCTGGCGCCCGATGGCTTCGCCTGCCTGGACATCGACGAGTGCGCTGTGGACTTTGGTAATTGCAGCAGCATTTGCATTAATCTTCTAGGTGGGCACGCCTGCGCCTGCGAGCGGGGCTACGAGCTGCAGCCCGACGGACAGACCTGCCAGGATGTGGACGAGTGCGCCGGCCTGCTCTCCGGCGGCTGCACACACGAGTGCATCAACAAGCCGGGCAGCTACGAGT